AGAAATGCAAAGCAAGTTCTTCTGCAAATAGGTCAACTGCTGAAGAAGCAGCAGCCTTTTGAAGAAGCACAATTCTTGTCAGTAGTCTGAAAATGTATCTGTAGAGTGGGACACATTGGTTAATCCTTGTTTTTGGATGTACTGAGGCACCTGSAGATGGCTGTGTTTTGTCCCACAACACCTGATTTGACCCAGGTAAAATCAGTGATTCAAAACTAGTAAGTCCAGGCTGAAAGTGGATAAACTATTATTACTTAGAGATGAGTTTATTTCCTGAACAAAAAAAAAGGCACATTATGAGAATCTGAGTAAAGGTAGTATGTGGTCAAGACATTGCTGGTTTGTGAACTTGTGCTGTGCAGTGTGAAGCTCGGGATGTTTACGGTTAACCCTGTCTGAGGGTAAAGTGGCTCTTCTGCTTCCAGCTTCCAGCCAGACCTGAAAATTTTGGCATGAAATTCTTTGTGCCTGGTGTCTGCTGCAGGGTCTTTGTTTTTGTTTCTTTGTATAAAAGTTTCTGAAATTTAAGACTCTAAACATGATTTTCTGGGAGAAAGTGAACTGTCTCTGAAGAKTGGCACTATATGCATGCTTTATTTGTAAACTGAGTTTTCAATACATTCTTTTGGCATTAGAGTACCCATCAGGTCAGTTTTGATGGCTGTAGGTAAGTCCTGAAGGTGAGTTTTATCCCACCTGAGTTCATGGGTTTAACTTAATTTGGGCAGCAGTCTATAAGTCAACATGCTTCTCCCTGCTAGTGACCTAGAGAATGCTCACCTTGCTTTCACAGCATAGCAAGTCTTTGGGGTTTTGTTTTGTTTGGGTTTTTTTGGTTCTTTTTGTTTTCSAAATTATCAAACTTTTAAGGCTAAGTATATTTAGTGCATGTCTTCTGGCTGGCTGGGAAAGGAGAGTTTATATACTTCAAGCTGTACAGTCCCCTTTAAGTACAACTGAGAGTTTTCTAACTTCTTAATTCTTGAGTTTCTGGTGTATTTATAGAAGAAATGTGTGGATCATGTTGATAAATTTTGACAGAAGAGCAACAAATTGACCCCCAGTGTTGACATCTCTTTCTGAAGATTTTAATGTGATGAATAATACAGAGTGCTTAAACCTTGGAAAGTGTAAAACTGTTTTCACACCTTTTGAGTGGACTTAGTGGTTCCACTAGAGATCTGTGGTGAGACCATGTGAGGACTCTGCTCCTTTACTGGAAGTCATCACCTGCAGAGATGACTTTTGAAGATGAGGTCTTTGCTCATTACTACATGTTATCTACTGAAGCATGAATACATCATGTCCAGGAAGTCTCAGCTTCACCATTAGATACTGCATAATCCATTGCCTCATAATCTGTCTGAAAAGTACAACTACTGTACTAAAGCACCTCATATTTTGTAGAGAGCAGGAGCTCCTATTTTCCAGCTGAGAGATCCAACTGGTTTGTAATAGGGCAGGGCTTTGTACTCACTTGCAATTTCCAAAGATGCTGGCTGCCTCATATTTCTCTGAGAACTTTTTCTGGGTGCTTCTGGTGTCTGTGTGCTTTGTCTCATTTAATAAGTAAAAGGATTTTTCTTTTTCTTAACCTTGACAAAGGTTAAGAAACTACTCTMCTCCTACTACTCTATGCCTTGCTAGTTTTCTGCAAAAGGGAAGTGATGCTTACCTCAAAAAGGATCCAAAGCCAAATAGCTTTTACAAATGTGTCCATGAATATCATTTTGCTTGGCATATGGAAAGCTGTATTTGTACATGTGCATTCTTGATGAATTTCACTGATTCGACCATATTAGAGACAGAAAATAAAGTGTAATAATTGTAAAAAGACAAAAAGAAATTGTTCTTATGTTGAGTGCTTTCTTCAGCTTCAGTAAGAATATTTTGCAGCTCAGTTGTCAGTTTGTAAGTTTTGATAGTTTAGCTGCAKTGGAGAGTGTTGTCTTGAGTTGGGATTACTAATGATAATAATAGAACAACCAAATAAAACCATGGAGCAAACAGAACCTTCAGCCTGAATACGGGACACTGTTGGTGCTGAGGGCTTTAGGCTGGTGAGGTACGGTTGGTTTTGGCAGGACAGCTATGGCTGCTATGTTAGGACACAATTAGAAGTTAGAAGTAGTGGGAGGTAGAGCAGAGTTTGCATTTGCTGGATCCAGTGGTTTTCTCCAGATGGGTGGGTTTTGCAAGACACAAGGCCTGGGAGGCATTTTATTGAGGATTATTATTATTATTATTATTACTGCTACTACTGCTACTATTGTTATTATATTTTCTTATATAAATTCCATTCTTTTCCCTTATTTGCTTCCCTGTTTATCCAAACTACTGGATTTTTCCCTGTAACCACACTCTCTTCTGCTTTCCTTYTAAAATTTCTTCTTGCCCTTCTCTCTTCCATTGTTCACATCTTTTCACCCTCTTCCTTCCATTTCCTATGAAGTCTCTCCCTTCCTTTCTGTTTCACAAGCAGTCATTTCCTTTTCCTGCCTTCCTCTCCCATTTTTTCCTTCTCTTGAGCACTTTCCTTTTATGTTGAATTCTACCTTTCTGGGCTTCTCCCATAATTTTATTCCCTGGTTTGGCTTTTCTCTCTCTTGTTTTGCATCCCTCATGTTCAGGCTTTCAGGGTGGCATTTCTTTGTTCACCCTGCTGGTGCAGATGATAGGCAGAGGAGGTATGACAACACCTAGAATGTGACTGCAAACACGTAGGTCATGTAAATGGTAGGGGTGAAGCATTCCAAATTATTCTCTTCTCACCATGTTTGCCCTTGCCTCCTACTGAAGGCAGTCTCCTTCAAAAAGGACTCCATTCTGTCTCCTGAATTTGCACCAGTAGAAACTCCTGAGGCACTTGGTGACTCTTGAGAAATCAGATGGCATTGTTATGTTTGACAGGATGTGGATTTTTGGGACAAACTTTTCATGCTTGCCTTTCTTTAGAAAATCTTCATGTAGGTGAAGRGTAAGAAATACGATGATACTATTTTTCACTGTTCTACCCTCCATCCCCAAATGCTTTTTGGTATGAATCCTTGCTGCAGTCTCACAATCTTGTATGTGATTCTGCTGTGCACTTCTTTTTTAAAAACCATGGCTACTGCCATTTCTRTGCTGTATGCTGTTTGCTTTGCTGCCACGTGCCATGTCTGGTTTTTTTCAGTCTTAACACCTACTACTTGAGAAACAACTTTGTCAATTTTATGGCATGCAGCCCTGCAGAGTATTACTACTTGTGACTTTCAGCAATGTTCGGTATAACATTTACCCTTTTCCCCAAATTTCCGTCWGTCTCCTCCATCTATTGCTGAAAACCATTACTGACATTTCTGAATTGGAATGTGTGGCTCTAGGRAGAGAATTTCCTCTTTTGCATTTAGCCAGCTAAATCATCAGCCCAACAAGCTATCAGCTCAACAAGCCCTCGTGGAGAGGCTCTTCTGGTCTCTCCTCCTCCCTTTCCTTTTCATCAGTTTAGAGTATTTTCTCACCTTTTTGTATGCTTTCAGTTTAATCTCATTCTTCATTGATGCTGTCAGACAACATTGATGGAATATTTARTTTGAGGAATTTGTGATTTATGTACTGTACAATAATTGCATAGAATTATTTCAAAATGTACTCATTCTATTGCGACTCGTTGTTCTTTATGACCAGGTAAAGCTATCTAAGTGTCATCCAGACCCATCTTGTTGCACATTGGACTTGAAACRGAATTTTTGAGCAATTAGCATTGCATTGACTTTATTCATGGTAGCAGTAGGAAATTTTGGTGTAAGTATTGGTCACAGAGTAAAACCCCTTCTGGTAACATTACTAAGTATAGAAAAGCATTTTAATGTGAAGGCCCAGAAGTCAGAACTGGAATCTGATCCTGGAACTGGGTGTGAGTAATTCTTACTCACATTACTAACTATACTGACTTCAATAAGACAGGTGAATTCAAGCACAGAATGATAATTGTTCTGACATGGAAAAGCTGACAATGTTTTTAGAACTATTTTTATTGATGCATTTTAAAATCTTTCTTRTTCCAGTCCTTCCCCTTTTCTTTTTTCTTGCACAAAAATAGTCCATCAACTGTTTCTGGCTGGTATTTGCAAAGTAAAATTGTGTTCCTTTGAAGCTGAATAGAAGGAAACAWCATGTTCATGGTTTCACTGTCTACATATAAAATATAGTTAGCGGTTAAAAATGTTTATAGTATCTAACCSTTTGATTTTCAGATCTGTTTTTCTGTAAAATGTCCTAGGTATTTTATAGTCCCCAAATAGTTTAAGTGCTGTATTTAAATCTTATGTTTTGATGCTGAACAATGTATTTGCAGAGGTACATAAAAGCTAATTAAATCAAAGGAAATATTTAGATAAAGACTGCTTCATATTAGAAAGGACTCATTAGARAATGGTGACTTGGAGCCCTTTCATGCACCCTTTATGAAACTGCTTCTAGGTTAACAGGAAAACTAACTCTATTGTCTGCATATGGAAAGTTTTTTTTTCCCCTGTAATTTTTTCCCCCTGGAGAAATAGAGTGAGACACAAAAAATCTGAACAGAATACTACCATCCTCATTTCTAAGGAAGAACAAATAATGAGTAACAACTTACAATGTACTAACACAATCTAAAGGGCCAAGTGATAAATTAATGGAAACAGGATTTTGTATATTGTTTTGGAGACTAAGCATATTAGATTGAATTGTTTCACAACCAGTGTGCCTAATTATTGTGTCTGCCACATTCATCTATTTAAATCATTCCCAACTTTTGGATTGCTGCCTGGAATATTACTGCAGTATGTGTTTCAACTGGTTATTCCCTTGTCACATGTAACTTCAGAAAGGAGGATGTTTTTTGTTGGTTTTTTTTTTTAATACAAGTGAACATTGGCTGTATGTTTATAATATCTGATAAGAAGGGATGATAGGTTTCATAATGTTGATTTGAATGAGTTGCACGTGAACTGATGCTGTATTTGTTTTGTCAGGTCAGTGACTTAGAAAGTGCCTTTGCCAAGTCACTTTTACGAGCGAGGACTGCTGCGCCTGTGTTCTCAAAATCCTGTCTTTGCCAGCCAGACATTGCCTTCATCTTACACCTGGCAGAAGATACCTCAGCTGTCTCCATTTGCCAATTAGTTGATGGGAAACTGAAAGCAGGAAAAGAAATATTATTATTATTCCTGGGACATGAACAAATGACTGCATTGCTTTTCTCGTGTAATCAATACTGGCAAGCAACCATCAGAGGACTGCTATTCTATCAAGGAGTGCCATTGCACTGATGGACCTTGGCTTAAAACCGGTGCATCCGTGATTGCAATCAACAAACCCACGTGTTTTACAGACAGAAATGCGACTGAGCATGTGTTTTCCCAGCCAAAAGTCTACAAGCGGGACTTAATGATTGATGAGTGACTGCTTGCTGATAAACTTTCTCTGCTTGTTCTGCTTTGTGTGTGTTGGACATCGTTAATCGTCCCCCACTGTTTGTTTTTTTAGCTTTCTTTTCAATTGGAATTGAAGTTATTTTTTTCTGATTTTCCCCCCGTCCCCTTTCCTTTTTCATTAGTTTTGGAAATTTCTTCAGCATAATTCTCCCGACAGCAACTTACAAGTTYAAAATCAGCTTCGCATCATGGCTTTGAATGTCGCTCCCGTAAGAGATACAAAATGGCTGACATTAGAAGTGTGCAGGCAGTTTCAGAGGGGAACTTGTTCACGCTCTGATGAAGAATGCAAATTTGCACACCCCCCTAAAAGTTGCCAGGTTGAAAATGGAAGAGTTATTGCCTGCTTTGATTCCTTAAAGGTAAGAAAAAGAAACTGCATGTGTAGTGAAAGTAAAATATGAAATGATGAGTTWCAATAAACCAGGTTAATCAGAAAGTGATTTGTTCTTGGTAAGATGTATATTGAGACAAATGTTGTGTGTCATAACATTTGTTTACTGAAGCTTTTAGGATTTCTTTCTAAGGATTTTTTTCAAATGTCACTACATTGTTTACAAAAATTGCGTATAACTGTGGGATACAGTATTGCTTGCAGCTGGTAGGACAATTGTATTCTCCYGAGTACATTTTATGAATTATAATTGTTTCATGGCAAATGAAAATACACAGTGGCACAATGCTAGGCCATTCTCAGAGTCCTGAAAAAAAAAATCATAGTGAAGGAGTGCAGATTTTTTCATTTAGATCAACGGAAGTAAGAAAAGTCTATCCATTACTTCAATTTTGACATAAGGGATTGTTTASTCTTGGTATTGGAGACTCAGTTATATTTACAGCTTTGGWAARTACATGTGTGAATAGTGCAGATAGGAGTATAAGTTTAGGATGAATGAAGGGTTTCTCTTCTTTTGGAGGTTATTTTGTAAGTATGTTGTTGGGCCATCAGCTTCTTCTGGCTTCCTAATGACATCAGGCATGCTTTAGAAAACTATTTTTAAAAGTTCTGTGAAAATAGTTCATGTRCTGCATAAAAGAAGATTAATGACCTCCTGGGATTTGAGGAGTACACAGTGTTTTCCACGATGATATATTTGTGTTCTCATGTCAACAGAAGGAGAAGGCTTRTTTCATATCAATAATTAAAAGGTAGAATTGAGCATTTCAGATTTTATTTTGAAAGTTTTAGTTATGGCTTTATCTTCTGGGCATGGGAGAATGTCTTAGCTTGCCTTTTAAATTTTAGCTCAGAGGATCAAAATTTCCGTTACCAAGATCTCTTCTACTGTGAAAACATCAGTCTGAGAGAAGAAAATTCAGGGTGGTTTATTTTCATTATAACTTTTTTTTCCTGGATGCAATGCAAGATATTGTGCTAGGCATCTTCCTTCTGTTTTTTTCTCATTTATTCTCTTCTTTTGAAGATTTAGGAGAAAGTATCTCAGGGGAAATGTTTATGAGGGGGTTATGTTCTGTATATCCTGTTAGCCAGAAGAGCACCTTTGGAGTCATGGCAATATGTCATCGAGGGCTATTAATGACCTTAATCCATGGATTACTGCACGATAAACTGTAACAGCTTCTTTGTAGATGTTCTTGTGTATTGGTTGTCTGCCAACAGGATAATTTTTTTAAACCAAGCAGACTTGTGTGTGCAGCAAGTGGGCAATACTCTGATTTTGCAAAAAAAAAGCAGGTTAGTAGAAGGGGGGTTTTATGTACTATTTTTATGTGTTGTAAACTCTCAGGGCTGTGACTGGGAAGCTGGAGACAGGCAGCAGGACTCGGTCACCCCAGGGCTGGCAGGGCAGTGGATCTGCAGTGCAAGAGGTGGTGCTGCTGCATCATCCTGGCCAAAACAGTGATGCACCTGTCCTTGATGCCTGAGGACAGCATTGCTCTCCCTGGTAGCGCTGGGCACTCACAGTGCACTTGCCAGCTATTCWGGATGGAGACTTTTGTTCAGGGATGGTTATTGTCTGCAAATAAAAACTGTAGTCACAGACTAAGCTAATAATACCGTGAAGAGAAATCCTGAGGGATCAGAGTGGATAACTTACTGACAACCAGCATCATTGCTCAGTGGAGAGAAGTCCAAAACAGTGTAAAAAATGTAGCTAAAGCAAGCAGGCATGTTTTCACCTAGTGTGGGAGGACATCTGCCCTGAAGGGCTGGCCCACTCCATCCCAGCTCTGGTGGCTGAAGTGGTGTTSCTCTGTCCCACTGCCCATCATCACCCACTTTCATGCAGAAGAGAGCATGCACCTATGCCTTCCAACCTGCATCTTCCAGTTGAGTCTAATGGGTTAAATTTCTGGGAAGGTAGAATTATACCAAGAATTCAGATTGTGGCCTGAAATAGCAGAGGTGGAGGTATGGGTTTCTTCCCAGCAACTGCTGCAAGTGGAGGGAAATCTGACATGGCATGACAGTGCCTTCAACTGCAGCTCCTTTTCTCTGAGCGTGAGTCTGAGCCATGCACTTCCATGTGTTACCTGATCCTCTGTGCATAGGAAAGTGTTTGGGACCGTTGAGAAGGCACTGGGCTGAGCTGAGTGGTRTCCTCACACTTATTGTCTCAGTTATTCGGGAGAGGGTTTGTAAATTGAGGTATCCACAGCAAGAATGTGTGTGCCTGGTTAGCTCAGTTTGCTATTGTCGGCTGAGGGACTTAGGTTAGTCACATAAATCTATTTGACACGTAGCTTTTGGAAGCACTGATGTTAATCATACTGTTTCAGAGTAAGGCTTTGGCACTCAACAAGTGGGATGACTTTTCATGTAAATAAACAAGGAAAACAGTCTAGAATTGTAGATAATATCAGAATTTAATTAAAAAAAAAACAAGAGCTATTTTCCTTGCTGAACGTTGAACCACATTTTAATGCAGGCAATTATTTCGCATTTATTTACATAGCATCTAGAGCTCTGGAGACTTAGCCTTTTAACTGTCTTGGTTTCATGTACCTGCTGTAAAAATAAATTATAATGAATATGTTGAGTCTGTGAATAAACATCTTTCTACCCAGAAAAGACAGAAAATTTTTTTAGTCTGTGATGGAGTTGTATTACATTTAGGTGGTGCCTGGTAGTTACAGCTGCTCCCTTAGAAGTCAGTCAAACACAAGATACAGCACTCTGAGACAGACTCTCCTTTACACACTGATTGATCAAAAGAGCCCCTGTTTTGGGCAGGGACATATGCTCCCTTGCATGCCATCTTCTTTCCAGATTTCCAGGGCAGACAAGGGAGCATGGTGTCAGTATCTGCCAGCTGGATCAGACTACGATGGCACCAGAATGAAGCTGCACGAGAGAGTCGAATGAAGGGTCACAAAGAGATGAAGAGACTGAAGCATCCCTCCCATGTGGAAAGTCTCAGAGWRCTGGGACTGTTTAGCCTGGAGAATGCTGAGGGGGACCCCATTCAGTGCAGTGCAGGGTGCAAAGAGCACAGAGCCAGGTTCTGGTCAGTGATGCCCAGTGACAGGACTGAAGGCAATGGGCACAACCTGAAACACAGGAGGATCCCCTAGAACATCAGGGAATGCTTTTTCACTGTGAAGGTGACCAAGCACTGTCACAGGTTATATCCAGGGAGGTTGTGGTGTCTCCATCCTTGGAGATACTCAAAAACTGTCTAAGGTGGAGTCCTTGRGCAGTTGTCTGTAGGTGAACCTGCTTGAGCAGGAGGTTAGACTAGATGGCTTTTGGAAGACCCTTTCGACTTCAACTACCCTGTGACTGTGTGACCAGAAGCACCTTCACACCAACTTTCCCATAGCGTTAGGATTTTTCTAAGCTAGTAAAAGCTGGCTTTGGGACCAAAGCATGTAATCCCAACCAGGGACACTTGCTTGTACGCCATGCCCTCCTTTGTACTCCCACTGCTCTCTTTGTGACTGTGTGGTACACCACAGGTTGTTGCTGTATCTGCTGCAGAAGAGAGAAGGCACTAGCAGAGTACTGGATCACCTCTATCAGTGACAGTGCTGTGGCCTTAGGCTGGGCTTCTGGAGTGATATAATCATATCAGAGTCCAAATTTTCCTGTATTCAAGAAGTATGTTTGTAGGTCCAGTGATTCCAAGTAAAAGGTCAACAGAATTTAATGGACCCTGTTTGTTTTTAACTGAGAAAGCATTTTTGGCTCACAATACCGTCCTTGCAATACTTGACTTTAAACCCAGCAAAAGTTGCAGCAGCAGCCCATTGGACTAATTACAAATCTGAGGATCCAAAATGCTCACTGTGAAAGACTGTCTGGGCTCTGAATATCCTTCATCTGTGAGATGCTCTAGGCTAGACAGAAATAGCTAAAGACTAATGAGCCTGGGTCAGATTCAGGCCAGAAACTTGCTGGTTTCAAGCCAGGTTCTGCTGCATGGGCTTCTGAGAGGCAACTCAGAATTTGTTTCTCTGTCTTTGGTGAAGGACAGAGTCTGCTCTGCTCTGAACAGGGCATTTATGGGGTTTTTGGAGAGTGCAGTATCATCTCTGTGCACCCCAGGGGCTGTWGATGTAGCAGTTGGAGAGATGAGTGCCCATTAGCTGGCCACAGCATTGCTGCCAGCAGTGGGGCTCCCTCCAGCAGAAGTTCCACGTGACTGGGTCAGCCAGTGTGACCACACAAATACACCCAAAACTGTGTGTTTTGTCATTGGGCAAGTGACCTTGGTGAGCTTAATGTGAGGATGAAAGTGTCTCCAGGCTAATCTGGTTCACTGTGCTTGAGGTGAATGAAGGGGAACTTTCYTGGCAGGGTCCTGAGCCTTCATGTGGTGGGAAGATAAAGGGTGCTGAGGAGGCACTGCTGGATCCAGAGCCTTGTCTGCTGCCATGACCATCCCAAAACCTTTTTGGAGCCCTTAAAGGCTCCCCTTTGGATGCCTTTGGAAGGTCTGTGAAGTGACCTGTCTAACAGAAAAGTTTGCATTTCATAAACTGCTTAATTTATGATTTTATACTTCTCCCTGGACTGAAGTAGCTTAATTTAAAAGTGAATAGCATGGATATATAACACTTAATATATCACATTTAGATCCCTCCAAGTTGGACACTGTAAGYAAGTTTCTTTTCAAGGCTTTCTTGTCCTGTTAGTRGTAAAGAACAAAATCCTTTCAAAGGAATGCTAATACATAATACAAATGGAGGACAAGAACATGCAATGCTTTGCTGTATTTGAATTGGAATTAAAAAAAAACCTCGAACACATTAAAATGAATGGTGATGTTTAGGAGGGGGAAAGGGGAAAAGCTTAGCAGATCAGAAAATGTGAWCATGTGCATTTTGCTTAGAGTTAACTCTTATGTTTGCAGGCAATCTGAATTTTCAGTCCTGGTGTGTCATATCTTCACTCAGA